AATGTAAAATTGAAAGTAATGAATTAAAATTTAAAAGTTGCTTAAAATAAAGTAAAAAATGATAAATGAGGGTGTACAATATTTAAAATTTGAATTGAAATGCTATAAAAATGGTAAAATTTGATTTAAAAATAATTACAGTAAAAATAAACATTATATTTATGGAAAATCAAGTTGTTAGCATGAAGAGAGAGTTAAGTAGATTTTTTAAAAACTCACAGTTTTTATGATTGTTCAGTCAGGAGACTTGGTCTTTGGTTGTTGTCCTGATGACGTGGAAGGCGTCCCATGTAGAGCTTGTAGAAGCTTGTGACTTCTGTTTGGCGATGGTGGCTTGTCGTCTGGATGGTTGTGTTGTAAGGTCGAAGGTGGGTAACTTCTCACCGGCTTATTTTGCGGGATGTTCGGCTGTGTCGTTGAGGGGAAGATTGCTTGGTCGATTTGTTGGAATGGCGTGCTTGTTCCTCCATCTTGCTTCTTGGCTCTTTTCTATCTATCTGGACAGTCTTTTTACCTTCTTCGTTGTGGTCTCCTTCGTTGTGGTAATCCTGTCGACTATCTGTAATAATTTGTTGAGGTTCTGTCTGTGATTAGGGATCCTGTCGACTAGCTGTAATATTGTGTTGAGATCCTGACGACTCTCTGTAATTATAGGTTGGTGTTTGGTAAGCCTGTTGTAGAACCTCGTCGACTCTCGCTATAAGTTGTGGCAACCGAGGGTCAAACCTGTAGTAACCGCGAGGGACAGTCAGGGGTGGAGAGTTTTCCCGTACCTCTCTGCACCTTGTAGGATCTTTAACAGTTCTCACAGGGTACAGGCAGTCGTGGTCGAGGCAGAGTGGAAAACTGGGGAATGTCCACACACACAAAACGAAGAGACACAGTTGAAAGAAAGTTCCTTGAATAGATAAAAAGCGAGCCAAGAGCAAAGATGGAGATAGAAGATTCCTTACTGTTTTACATGGTGAATGAGGGTGAACTTGGAGACAACCGGCGACGCGCTGATGGGGAACTGGACTGAACTGGCTGTTGCTACGCGGCCTTTTTATACGACCGCTCTGACTAAGAGAATTGGGTCATGCACGTGTCGATGGACACCGGACACTGGCGACAGACTGTCGGGGTCCAATCTATCTTTAGAAGTCACTTGTGATTCTCTCTTTGGCTCTTAACTTAGCTTTTAATCTATTATATTTTATTTATTCATCCTCAGTACATTACATCTGGAGATACAAGGACACACGTCAATTATGCGTATAATTAGTTCTGTATACAACATGACAATCTTGTTATAAAGATTATAATATATAGGGTTGTTGGTTTAAATTATCATATATATAGTATTATTTCTATTTAAAATATTTACTCATTTTCATTTACATTTCATATAATAATTTAGTTTTTTTATTTAATTAAAGAAAAATTAATCTATACACTATAATTATATTATAACAAATTTTTCAGCTGCTACACTCCCCTCTCTGACAATGAATCAGAAGCTTGGAAATCTTTGCCTTTGAATTTTTTTATATGTTTTTTTTTTTAATATTATATTTTGTAATAATACTTATATAAATATTTTTCGAGAACTCTTTAAGTTGAAGTGATTAATCCAACATTATACAAATACTACAGATAGTTCTAAAATATAATATGTAGATATATATTAGTTGATTTCTGTTCCACTAGATGGCGCTCTACGATCTAAAAAGCTCATGTGCTCGTGTTCAAGATATGCCTTTTTTAAATTTAAATATATACTGTAGTATAAAAACCTCCCATTTTACATGTACATTGTATTCAACAAATAAAGTCAACCTACAGACAACCCAGACAGAGACGGGCGAGTAAAGTCCGGTCACTTGAGACACCAGCGACATTCCAAGGTGCGACCACTGGGGCCCGTTAGTTAACACCTCGGGACTATTAAGACAGTTGGGGATTATGTGCGACACTAACGGCCGCCCGGCTGCGCCGGTCCCGTCTCTCTCTCTGGTTGCCTGGGTATTTCTTTCAACTTGTGATGTCCTTATTTATTTTCACCACCTCTTATTACCATATATATATATATATACAGTTCTGTATATATAAATTACATAAATTTTATACAAGCATATTATAGTTACTCAGATATTATTCGAATATGTAAAAAAAAGCTGTTTGGCCAAAGAGATATATATATATATATATATATTTATTATTATTTGCCCAAAAAGATAGTTTTCCTTAATCGACATTCAATTTTAATTAAAAAGGAATTTATGTCAAGAATTTTTTTTTGTTTGTTTTAGAATTTACAAAAAAAAAAATCAAGACGCAAAATGTTATAAGAGTATAGATGTATTAAACAAATAAAAATGTTTCCGGAGATGAGTATCTTTTTATTTTAAAACCATCTCAAGCTTTCGGGTATCTCTGTCTTTCTATAGGAGAACTTATACAATGAATAAAACGACGTTGCGAATGGCATCAGGCGGCGTTTTATTCATTGTATGTGTTCTCCTGTAGAAGAGCAGAGATACCCGAAAGTTTGAGACAATTTTAAAATAAAAATAAACTCATCTCCGGAAACCTTGTTATTTGTTTAATTAATGTCCATGAGATTTAAATCAATTGAAATATAGATGCGTGAGTGTAAATAAAAAACACTGAGGAATATAAGCTCTGCAATGGATTGACGCAGCTTGAGAAACCCAGCAGACGATGACTAAGCATCCAAGGAATGCAGACGAAAGTAAATAATTGGTTCTAAATGCCCCCAATGGGCGGCCATCTTGCCAGATATCGATCCAGACGATGGAGGAGTCGTTTGGTTCTCTATAGCTATGGACATCTTTTGGCACATTTCATAAATATTTTAAGTTATATGAAAATACATGGAGGTGAAAACATATCGCTTTCTCTGTTACAAATATTTATTTTTGTTGTTTAAGTTTTTATTCTGTTCGATTTATTTTTGACACTTTCTAGAAATTTGTCGAATAGTGGTTAAATTTAGTATGTCATATATATAAAGAATATGTAAATATAATAGTTGATTTCTCTCTCTGAATTTCTATATTATCCATAAATATACTATTTTCAATTAAAAATACATATATTGGAACAAAATATCATTTATTTTACCAATATTTCAGTTGGCTGAACGCCAACCTTTTTCAAGGTATTATAACATATTAATGTGTAATGAAAAAGGCATCCCCTTATCGTGCAACTGAAAGTTGCTGATGGCTTGCGCCATCTATCGGAATAAATATCAACTCCAGAATTGGCCAATTACCCATTCTTGATTAATCAAGAAAAGCTAACCACGTACGCGTTTCGGGCTGTTGACATGTAAGTTATATATATATATATATATATATATATATATTGTGTATGCACCTTATCCCAGTACAATATTACATTTGTACTATTTTTTCATATTAATGTGTGTCAACAACAAAATCAGCGCCACATAACGTCAATAGAATTAAGTTGAATTTTTTTTTTGCCTATATTCAATTGGAAGAAAAAAAAAGATATATATATAAAATATGAAATTTCGAAACTATAATAGACGCGTATGATTCTTTAAAAAATTAAACAATTTCTACTGCCTTTACTGTAATGGAAAAATTAATGGGAGGGCCTGGCTCACCACTGATGAGACAGGCCCTCCCATTAATTTTTCCATTGCAGTAAGGGCAGTAGAAATTGTTACATTTTTTAAAGAATCTAACGCATCTTAATTGTTTCGAAATTTCATAACAGATGGCGCGCTAATGCATCATAATTTATAAGTATTATGGACAAAATATATTTAGTAAAATATGGGTGTGAATATTTTTAATATTAAAAATAACGCCTATTTTATATTTACAATTATTTGTATTATGTGTAAAATATTTTTGTATATAAAATAAAATGAAAATATATTATATTTTGATATGCCTTTTTAATTAAAGATCTATTTATGGATTGCTCTATTTTCAAAACAATAATTACTCTATATTATGAAAAATGCATCGCCTGAAATGAAATTTTCTAATATCATACGTCATTTATTGAGTAAACATTGATTTAATTTTCTTACAAAGTTTTTCTGACCAAAACAACTTTCTTTATAAATACGGAGAAAACGATAACATACGCATTTTAGCCTGTTGGCTCTCTTTATGGTCTGGTCAATTCTTTTATCCTAATTCCTTTTATTCTATTTCTAGCCGAATGACCCGGGCAACGCCCGTGTTTTACCCGATTGAATGTTTTGATTCAAATACTATTTGTTACAATTATAAATTGGCGCCTTAATTAATTGCATATGTTAGTTAATAACTATAGCCTATGTGCTTTATCTGTCTATGTACTGTTGGCTTCCGTAGGCGTCTCTTACTGGGAAAAAGAAAGAGAGGATTCCATTTGGTTATTATCTAATATATGCATTTATTTAGGGAGCGACCCGCTCCAACACAATAGTTAAATGGCGAGTGGGGGGGGGCAAAGGTGTCGTGACCGTAGCCAACCAATAGGAGGTGGCCATTCCAAAAAAAAAAAGCAAACGGTGACAGAGATGACTGATTAAGAATGACGCTCGTAACTGTATATAGAATTCAGTATTTCGACGGTCGCTAGACGAGTGCTATAAAACCGTCGATTTTAACAGCAACGAATTGGGATCGAATTCGACATCGGTACTTTTTTTTCTGAAGAAAAAATGCTTTAATGGTCACCGATTCTTTCAAAGGTTAAACTGCATCTATGAGTGCCTGTAACCAAACAGGTGACTTTCTCAAATTTGTAATTGCTAAGGTGGAGCTCCTTCTACATGTGTAGATATGTAGTGTACTTACTATTTGTTTGATTTATTAAATACTAGCCGAATGACCCGGGCAACGCCCGGGTTTTACCCGATTAAATGCTTTTATTCAAATACTATTCGTTACAATAATAAATTGGCGCCGTGGATGTCATTATTGTGTAATATATAAATGAGTTTTAAAAATTGTAAAAAAAAAAATTGCAATGGCCGGGAATCGAACCCTAGGCCGCCCGCGTGGCAGGCGAGCATTCTACCACTGAACCACCGATGGTTATAAGAAATGGCCATATTTGGGTATTTATTCCAATTACAAAAGCAAACGGTGACAGAATTGATTATTAAGAATTGTTGCTTGATGACTCTGATAACTGTATATATTAATTTTGTTCCTATATTACACTTAAGAGGCTAGAAAATTAGCCTATTGCAAATGCGACTGGATAATTAAAAAATGATTCAATATAAAAATACATAATACAATCGAAACAATTCTCTTACAGATAAAATTGTCCATTACAGAACAAAGAGATCAAATGCAATAGGTTCCTATAATACGAAGATATTAAAAAGTACACTATTTTTATACAATTCATAAATTATTTTATAGAAGATAACAAATAAAATGTTTGAAAATAAAAAATCGAATATCTGTTCCCTGATATTTGGTCAACCAAATTTCTTTATAAATCAAGAAAGGCCATCCACGAATTGGGTTGGCCAAATATCAGGTAACAAGGTAAATCAATGTTTAGTTGATTTCTGTTCCACTAGATGGCGCTCTGCTATCTGAAAAACACATGTATTCCTGATCAGGATATGCCATTTATATTTTTAATATCACCACCTGACCTTTATATTTTTTATTTTTCTATTGTTATTTCACACATATATATGTGAAAAATAGTACAAATGTGATATTGTACTGGGATAAAGTGCATAATTATGAAAAAAAGGCATCGAATTTCATGCTCAAGAGACACCGCACGCTGATTGGCTGATCAAGGTCACGTGAAAGTAAAAACATAATCATAGTGGGAATAAAAAGGACATATGAACACTAAGTCGTATTTTATAGTAGATGTTTTTATATTATCAACACACGAGTCAACACATTAGTCAAAAATGCTTTCTCGTCATCTCTGTGGCGCAGTAAATTATTAAAATAATAAACAATTCAATTAGCTGTTGTGTCCACGATCTGGTGGTTGGGTTACCTCTTTGTAACGCAATAATAGAAACATAAGGCAAGGGGGCGTCACTATATATATATTATAAACAAAAAAGGCATATCCTGACCAGGAGCACATGTGATTTCCAGAAGGCAGAGCGCCATCTGGTGGAACAGAACTCAACTAAACATTGATTTAGCCTGTTCCCTGATATTTGGTCAACCAAATTCCTTTATAAATCAAGAAAGGCCATCCAGGAATTGGGTTGGCCAAATATCAGGCAACAAGGTAAATCAATGTTTAGTTGATTTCTGTTCCACTAGATGGCGCTCTGCTATCTGAAAAACACATGTGCTCCTGATCAGGAAATGCCTTTTTTATTTTTAATATCACCACCTGACCTTTATATTTTTATTTTTCTATTGTTATTACACATATATAAATATATACTAGCCGAATGACCCGGGAAACGCCCGGGTTTTTATTCAAATACTATTCGTTGCAATTATAAATTGGCGCCGTGGATGTCACTCTTGTGAAACGTCCCGCTCCAAACTTTACATGTACATTAGGTCAGCTGATATTACCTCCCATCTTCACCGCTAGAGGCGCTGCTGGAGAGTGAAAGAGCAAATACATACATACATACACTGATCTTTATATATATAGGGATAATAATAATATAAATGAGTTTTATAATTGTAAAAAAAAATGCATCGGCAGGGAATCGAACCCGGGCCGCCCGCGTGGAAGGCGAGCATTCTACCGCATTGTACTGGGATAAGGTGCATAATTATGAAAAAAGGCATCTCTTTATCGTGCAACTGAAAGTTCTTGATGGCTTGAGCCATCTATCGGAATAAATATCAACTATTTTCGTTGATTTTTAATTATTCCAGAATTGGCCAAACCTCACATTTGTACTATTTTTTCACATTATGTCGCGGTCTCACGCAATTCTGGCCTTAACTACCCGTTACATGATTTTTCAGGATGCCTTGAATGACCAGAGTTTTGGTCGTTGAGGTACAGCTTGCACCACGCTAATGAGGGCCAACAGCCCGAAACGCGTCCGTGGTTAGCTTTTCTTGATTAATCAAAAATGGGTATTTGGCTAATTCTGGAATAATTAAAAATCAACGAGAATAGTTGATATTTATTCCGATAGATGGCGCAAACCATCAGCAACATTCAGTTGCACGATAAGGAGATGCCTTTTTCATAATTGTGCACCTTATCCCAGTACAATATCACATTTGTACTATTTTTTACATTGTTCGCGGTCTCACGCAATTCTGGCCTTAACTACCCGTTTCATGATTTTTCAGGATGCCTTGAATGACCAGTTTTTTGGTCGTTGAGGTACAGCTTGCACCACGCTGATGTGGGCCTACAGCCCGAAACGCGTCCGTGGTTAGCTTTTCTTGATTAATCAAGAATGGGTATTTGGCCAATTCTGGAATAATTAAAAATCAACGAGAATAGTTGATATTTATTCCGATTGATGTCGCAAGCCATCAGCAACTTTCAGTTGCACGATAAGGAGATGTATTTTTTCATATATATATATATATATGTGTGTGTGTGTAGTAATATTCATCAATATACACTAGAATTACATATATACTATAATTATAAATAATGTAGCAATCCCAAAATGTAGGTACAATTCAGGACGCCAGCTTGGCCATCATGTAATGCAAAACAAGATAATAAAGTTTTATTGAGAGTCCGCCGCGCCCAAGACAGGACGGGGTTCTATTTCAGAAGTCGCTAGTTTGTTCTACTTCATCCTGCCTGCCAATAAACAGTCGGATAACAACATTTTTTTAAATGTAGATTACACCCTCTTGGACCTTGTCCGTGTCTACGGAGCTGGCCTCTCTTCTAAGTGACATCCGACCTGCCTCGTCCTTTTGTGTTACCCATTGACGCCTGAAACCACTCTGACCACGGACCACACGACTTCAAGTACTTGTGGTACCACAATCTATCAGCCGAGAGAATAACCTGCCTACTACATATATATATATGTAAAAATTAAAAAGGCATATCCTGACCAGGAGCACATGTGCTTTTCTTGATAAATCAAGAAATTGTTTTGGCCAAATATCAGGGAACAGGCTAAATCAATGTTTAATTGATTTCTGTTTCACCAGATGGCGCTCTGCCTTCTGTAAAGCACATGTGCTCCTGGTCAGGATATGCCATTTTTATTTTTGATATATATGTATGTGGTGATTTGCAAGCAGTCGTGGGTTGTGTGGCAAATAGTAAGGTGCACACAGGAAATAGGATTCAGGAGCAAACACCCGTGAAGAGTAGATCGGAGAAGAAAGAGAAGTTACGAAGTCCACCCTGGGCACTTCCTTTCCCTGAGCTCGAGTATTGAGTTTCTCCAAGAGCTGATCTTTTCGGGCGACATGATATCCGAAATTCTAAGAAAATATTTTCACAAAAATATCCCATGAGGTATTTTTCTGCTAAATATTTTCGTACCATATGTGTGCTGTTCCTTGGAGGAAAAAGAATAAACATTTGCGAGGCACATTGAGTCATCCCAGCAGTTGTAACGAAGAACACGATGGTATTCTTTTAAAATATTTTCTGGATCCTGGTTGTGTTCTCCTGTAAAGAAAGAAGGATTTCTGTAAGATTGAAAATGGCACTCACCCTTATATGTTTGGCATTCTTGATCCATGATAAAGTAAAGCAAGAAACCCACTCTCGGAAGCCATTTTGTGTATTATATATATATCTACTTATATATTTGCCTTATTCTGTCTGAAGCTCACGGATAGAATGCGCGCCCATTGGCTGCCGGCGAACACGTGTCCTCCCTGCCCCCCTCTAGACAACCTACATACACCTGTCTATATAGACCACCCTGTCTAAAGCGGTCACTTTAGGCAACCCTGTTATCAGCAGTGTGATACATACACCTGTCTATACAGACCACCCTGGCTATTGCGGCCACTCTAGGCAACCCTGTTATCAGCTGTGTGATACATCCACCTGTCCATACAGACCACCCTGACTGTAGCGGCCACTCTAGGCAACCCTAGGAAGCAAGATGTATACAAGGTGTAGACAAGATGAAGATCTAGATGAAGATTAAAACGTTTTTAAAATATATTCGCACTCGGGTAAAACCCGGGCGTTGCCCGGGCCATTCGTCTAGTATATATATAACCGATTCACCGATTCCATTCTATTTTTAAATCCTGAAAACCATCTAAATGTGGTGGGCCTATTTACATTTTCATTTCCAAATGCTGATTTCAACAAATCTAAAGTTTCTGAAGCCGATTTCCCAATTTTGTAGCAAAATTTAATACAAATTCGTTGTTCGAATTTTCTATCCATTACAAATTAGAAGTTATTATGCAAGGCGTTCTTTTTACAAGCTTACAATTTATCGACTGCGCGCGCAATCACGTTATGTGATATACTGCAGTGTAGCTGAAGCTTTCTATTTTTTTAATAGACTTTTTAAAAAATTATCATTTCATTTTTTCTTTGTTTTTGACCGGTCTCATTATTTATTGGACACACCTTGTAAGTGTTTTGGAAGATTGAATACTGAAATGTATTTACAGGGATCGGTAGATATGTGTCTACAGAGATTGTTTATTGTACCGCAGGTTCCGTGGTAGTGCGGTAGTGGACCCGCTGGACAACCTGCACTACTACTGGCTGGCGGTAGTGAGCGCTGCCTTCGTCTACAACATCGTGATGATCATTGGTCGCGCCGTCTTCTGGGAGCTGCACAACCTCAGTCCGGGGACCTGGTACACTCTGGACTACCTCTGTGACCTCATCTACCTGATGGACATGGGCTTCAACGCCCGCACGGGTGAGTGCTAACTGTATCTACCTGATGGACATGGGCTTCAACGCTCGCACGGGTGAGTGCTGAGTGTAACTACCTGATGGACATGGGCTTCAACGCCCGCACGGGTGAGTGCTGAGTGTATCTACCTAATGCACATGGGCTTCAACGCCATCACGGGTGAGTGGTGTATCTACCTGATGGACATCATGGGCTTCAACGCTCGCACGGGTGAGTGGTGTATCTACCTGATGGACATCATGGGCTTCAA